ACTGCCATACCCTCCTCCCCCACTGCCATACCCTCCTCCACCCCCTCCCCCACCATAATCCTGTCGCCATCCATACCCTCCTCCAGATCCCCCGCCTCCATATCCTCCGTCATTATATCCACCGCCTCGATTATCATAATTGGCACCATGTTGACCACCTGTACTTGAAAAATGAAGCAATAGAGGTATAACAGATAGATATTGTAAGCATTTGATAAATCTTTGATCTGGTGTGAAATCATCCTTAATAATAATAACACTGGAATGCAAGCAATCAAATGCATTCAAAGCAATGATGAAGTTTCTTTTCTTTGCTGTTTTCCTGTTCACATGCTTGCTGCATTCTCACTTAAAAATCATATTTTCATGCGTAAATAATCCTGAATTTCGAGTATTTATTGGTCACTCCTTCTGTACTACACAAGTTTTGATTTTCTGCAGCAAATACGATGCGTAAGAGAATGTGCGATAATATCATCAAGATGATTCACGATTCCGTCATCATATGAGTCACTGTTGAATATATGATTCGATTATCTCATCCTTTGAAAAAAACATCTAATTTATTCGGCACTTAGGAGAATTCCATTTCAATGAATCAGTATGATTTCCGTGAGTGCAACTATGAACAGTCAATATCGAGATTCAATAAACTTTTTTGCTGAAACAATCTCAAAAAATTACTATGACAATAACGATAATGGCACACTGTAATAATGCTCGGAAAAGAGACAGCCAGTGTATTTGAAGCGAAGCAATTCTGCATAGGACGAAAGCTTGCAAAAGCAAAGTGAAACAAAGCTTATCAGTTCTAACTCAGTAATAATGAGCCGTATCAATAACGATTCACTCGGTGATACTGATGGGACTAAAACGAAAACAAAGCTATCAAAATTATCAATTTTTTCTTCATTTCGGCAGTAAATGCAGTGGGGATGGCAACATAAGCAATTTTATCAACGTGAATTATTTCCTTTCATTCGCAAAATATTAACATAAAAACAAGGTGCTGGCTATGAATTTTGGAGGGTGAGATCGACTTTAATATAATAGGATTTCAAAGAAACGATGGAAATTTTGCAAAAGCTTATTGTTAATCGAACAGATTTCAAAATGTGCTGAAAAAAAATTTAAGGCGTTCTGTAAGCAAATAGGAATCGATTGCATCAAACAAGAGCATTAATTTAACAGTTAATTAATCATCTAGTAACGTATTCTCCCTTGTGATGTTCATCAGTTCTAGAGCGATCCAATATAAATGAAGTGAAACAAACAGAACCAAGTGAACAACNTCGATTGTATCAAACAAGAGCATTAA